ACAAGCACGTACTTTTGGCAGGGCCAAGAAGAGAGATACTTGCCCGAAATCACTTGAGGATTGGGAACCGGACTGCGCTACGCGAAGTAGCGAACCATCGGAATCGACGGATCGATAACTCGGGGGCGAAAGGGAAGGGGTTAATGTTGGATAATTCGAGCGGGACAGATTGTCCGGAATCCCGCAGGTCCGGCGCCGGCGGCAGATAATTTCGGAGAGACACTTCGATAGGACTGTCTCGACTTTTGACAAATGGCTCGAGGTGGACGTCTTACGGCCAGCGTTCTCATTCGCGATGACGTCCGGCGCGGTGACTGATGATCTTGCGTGCGCGCGTCAATGTCATCGTCGGTATATCATCTGGTTAGAATAGAGCCCGATTTCCAATTACCAGGACACCTCGTGGTTATTTTGCTCGTTTCTCCTTCCTTTTTTTTGAAGATACGTATTTGTTTGGAACGTCGACGCGCGAATCGCCGGATTGTTCTCGGATAGCCGGTCTGTTGATACAATTAGTTCCACTTGGCTCTTGAATCTTTAGTATCGTGCGTTTGAGTTGTTATTATTATTATGCAATCTCATCGTTCCTCGACGAGCACTCTCTGTTTCTTAGATGTTACTCGCTACTGCCGCGATACTCATTTTACCGTCTCCCTGTCCTCGTGAAAGTCGCCGTAAAAGCGTGCAAATTCGCCATTATGCGATATCGCCGCGAAAACCGATAAATGGACACGGCACAACTCTCTGTTTTATACCAGCCGTCATTTGAACGGGACGCGCGTAAAACTTTTAATCAGGATGCCATGTCAACCTCACGAGCGATCGGCGCGGATATAATCAGGCGAATAAATTCGGAATTGACCAGTAAACGTGTATACGCGCCCGGCGTGACCGGCGCGATATCGGCGTCCGACATCACCGTGACATCTTTCCACGCCAGAATAAGCACGGCGGTAACGTACCGCAGCGACACAATGTCGCCGCGTTGAAAAACGAATCTTCGGCGCGGCAGCGGCGCGGAGGAACCGGAGGAGACTCGCCGCCGAGCTTCGTCGTGGTACGTAGCGCATCCGTGTTTTCGTGCAATCCTATTCTCCATTTTTCTTCCTCACTCTCTTACGGTATACGGTCTCCACCGGCGACTGGTTTACCCCGTGTCTCCTCCCTTGTCGGCGAACGTTGCCGGAAATTCTGCTGCAGCCACCGACTCTTCTTCCCAACCGCCACGTCACGTACCAGAAGAGACTGTGCGCGCGATGACGATGAAGACGGCGTCGTGTCGGAACGAGATAACCGGAAATACTGGGAACCTATCAAGACTTTTACGCCACCCAACTAGCGCTCGCCTCTGTTTCTTTCCTTTCTGCGAATGGGCAGCGGCGGGTGGACGACGGGCGAGCGAAGCAACGGATCGATAACGCCGGGCTATGCCTGTCACCCGATAGCTATGCACTTCCGGCCGCGTTAGCAGAACCGTAAACTAGCAGCATCGCATGGCATTATCTCGATCCGGTTCATTAACATAGTCGACTCCCGCCGAATGGACTCGCCGAATCGTACCTGACCAACTTACGCCCTCGTTTTATGCGCGATAAATCGCGTCCCAGCGGCCGCTTCGATCGTCCACCCGCCGGACGCTGCGATCTCCCCGAGTTTGCTCTTGGAAAGTAGCAACGGCACGATTTCGGCAAATGGGAATCATTCCCTCTAATTCCTTCTTTCTTTCTTGTCGCCGTTTCAACGCGCGCGCGCGCGAGGCACTCCGCTTTTTTCTCTATTTGCCCAATTAAAATATAAATCTCTGTAACACAGACGCGAGAGAAGATAACGTCGATAAGGAGAGACGTTCGTTATCGAGGAGAGATAAAGGATATTTCTCCTGTATAAAGAAAGTCGAATTACGCTGGAAAAGAGAATTCGAGTCTACTTATCTTGCAAAGTACTAACACCCCGTGTACTTTACCGCTTTCGCCGGTCAAGCGAACTTTCACGCGAGGAGAAGAGGAAAAGAAGAAGAAGCCGCCTACATCGGTGCGCCGTGAATCGTATATTTCTTTCGCGGCTCTTCCCGCGAAATGCTGAAAGTCACTCTGGAAACGTCGGCTATTAATATTCGTCTCATAAATATTCCTCTGATATTCTTCGTGGCCGCTTGACGGGGTTCTCACGCTCATTGAATCCTGCGCCGCAAAAGTGCAACTAACGGGGGCTGTGAAACCAGTGATCTCGGACATTTACATGGTCTACTTTTCGCTCGTGCGGCACGACGCGCCTTCTCCTCTCGCGTACAAGATCGAGTGACCCGCTGTGTTCCCTCTTCTGCTCGCTTCCTCCTCCGTGCATGAACCGTTTCGCGCATGGTAACCTCGAGTGTCACGAGGGGATCTCATTTTCATTCGTTTCCCAATCATTCAAGATCGATACGCTATTTCTTTTCGTAGTTTTCGCATACCGATCGTACAAGCCGTGAGACTCTTACGAACCTGAAAAGGGCGCATTTTGCAGCTATCTCCCAACTATCAGGAGCTTGCAAAAGTCAGATGTGAGCCGTTTCTCACAGACGCGGAACCGGACAATCCACAGATAATGAAAGGCGACAGCAAGTGCTGAATTGCGACAGGAAATGGTCAATTGCAACGACAAACACCTCGCTTGCACATGACATGTGCTATTTTGTTGGCAACATCGAAAGAAATATCGCTAGAAATCCGAAAAACTTTCGCGAGCACCTGATGTTAGCCGCGTTGAGAAAATAACCGGTATATATTCTGTAGTTGAAAACACCTACCTTTCCTCTCACTTGTCGCTGTTGCACAATGATGCTTCGCATAATGGCACATTGATCGATACGCACGCGAGTCTCCGATCGGTTCCTCTTGGTCGCCCTCGATGAAGAAATATCTTTCCTCTCGGCTCCGCGCGCTGCACACGACGATGTATATATATATATATATATATATATATATATATATATATATATA